AGGGATGGCGAGGTCCTTGCACGGCACTTGTGCGTGAAGCAGCGCAGTCCGGCTGACAGTACCTGTCACTAGCTAAAGAGAATTGTTATGAATCCTAAAGCAGCCGCTAAGGCAGTAAAACAGAGTCCTGGCCGAGAGGTCAGCAAAGGGGCAGAGAATCAGAAGACACAGGATACACTGAGGACTACAAGTCGGAAAATCACAGAAGACAACTATCGCAGAAGGGAAGCAAGGGGAAAGGAGAGCAGACGGCAAGACAGAGCTGGGCCTAACCCTGCGAGAGACCCCGTTAGGCAAAGTTTACTCAACACTGCTGAAAGGCAGGAGTCCAGACCCCGAGGTGAGACCCAGCAGGCCTAACACAGTGGATTCAGCGCTGCGGGGACGCCAGCTTCCCACACTGGAGTGCCTGCTTCAAGTCCTGGCTACTCTGCATTTCCAATCCGGCGTTCTTGCTAGCACACCTGGAAGGTAGGAGATGATGATCCAAGCACCGATGTTCCTGCCACCCCCACGGAGGCTCCTGGTTACGGCCTGGCCCAGCAGTGGCCATTGCAAGTACTGGGGCAGTGAAACAGCAGGTGGAACTCGGTGTGTGTGTACGTGTCTGTGTGAGTCTCCTCCTCCTCTCTCTGTCACTCTGCCTTCTAACTAAGTAAATAAATCATAACAAAAAAGGCACAAATAGGTTAAAGGCAAAAGGATATAAAGAATGCAGCATGCCCACTCCAGTCACAGGAAGGCTGGAGAGTTCTTGTGAGGATGAAGAGCATTGCTTCCTGGTGACGAGGCGGCATTTGTCAGGCGTGTGTAGCAACCCCGAGCATTTACGGCTGTAACAGAGCTCCAGCCTCCACACACATGTCCACGGGGACCGCTGGCAACTCAGAGAGCCCTCCCTCAACAACTGAGAGAACATAGAAAGTACGCAGGAAAGCAGCAAGGATACAGTACTTTAAAAAAAAAATTATTGAGGGCCAGCACTGTGGCATGGCGGGTAAAGCTGCCACCTGTAGTGCCGGCACCCCATATGGGTGCTGGTTGAGTCCCAGCTGCTCCACTTCTGATCCAGCTCCCTGCTGTGGCCTGGGAAAGCAGGGGAAGACGGCCCAAGTGCTTAGACCTCTGCACCCCTGTGGGAGACCTGGAGAAGCTCCTGGCTCCAGGCTTCGGATCAGTGCAGCTCCGGCTGTTGTGGCCATCTGGGGAGTGAACCAGCAGGTGGAAGACCTCTCTCTCCTTCTGCCTCTGCCTCTCTGTAACTCTGCATTTCAAATAAATAAACAAATCTTTAAAAAAAAATATATCAGAAGTGGAACGCCGGGACTCAAACAGGTGCCCATACTGGATGCTGGTGTTGCAGGTGGCAGCTTTAACTTCTGCGCCACAGCCCGCATTGTAACAATGCTGGTAACCAACTGCGCCACAGCCCGCATTGTAACAATGCTGGTAACCAACTGCGCCACGGCCCGCATTGTAACAATGCTGGTAACCAGCCGCGCCACGGCCCGCACTGTAACAATGCTGGTAACCAACCGCGCCACGGCCCGCACTGTAACAATGCTGGTAACCAGCTGCGCCACGGCCCGCACTGTAACAATGCTGGTAACCAACCGCGCCACGGCCCGCATTGTAACAATGCTGGTAACCAGCCGCGCCACGGCCCGCACTGTAACAATGCTGGTAACCAGCCGCGCCACGGCCCGCACTGTAACAGTGCTGGTAACCAGCCGCGCCACGGCCCGCATTGTAACAATGCTGGTAACCAGCTGCGCCACGGCCCGCATTGTAACAATGCTGGTAACCAACCGCGCCACGGCCCGCATTGTAACAGTGCTGGTAACCAACTGCGCCACGGCCCGCATTGTAACAATGCTGGTAACCAACTGCGCCACAGCCCGCATTGTAACAATGCTGGTAACCAGCCGTGCCACAGCCCGCATTGTAACAATGCTGGTAACCAGCCGTGCCACAGCCCGCACTGTAACAATGCTGGTAACCAGCTGCGCCACGGCCCGCACTGTAACAATGCTGGTAACCAACTGCGCCACGGCCCGCATTGTAACAGTGCTGGTAACCAACCGCGCCACAGCCCGCATTGTAACAGTGCTGGTAACCAACTGCGCCACGGCCCGCATTGTAACAATGCTGGTAACCAACTGCGCCACAGCCCGCATTGTAACAATGCTGGTAACCAGCCGTGCCACAGCCCGCATTGTAACAATGCTGGTAACCAGCCGTGCCACAGCCCGCACTGTAACAATGCTGGTAACCAGCTGCGCCACAGCCCGCATTGTAACAATGCTGGTAACCAACCGCGCCACAGCCCACACTGTAACAATGCTGGTAACCAACTCAAGGTCTGTAGACCACTCCATCCGCAACAGCAGGGTACACATGCTTCCCAAAAGCACATGTAACATACACCAAGACAGACCACATTCTAGGCCATAAAACAAGCCTCAAAAATGCAAAAGTAGCTCAAGTCATACAAAGTACGAACTCTGACCACAGTGGAATGAAATTAGACATCAGCAACATAAAAATCTCCAGAAAAATTCCTAAATATTTGGAAGCTGAACAGCTCCCGGGAAGCAGGCATTCAGCCTAGCGGTCACGAAGGCTGTGGCCCGTCTGGGAGGACCGGGTCCCAGTCCCAGCTCACACGGACCTCCAGAGGCGGCAGTGAGGACTCAACCCGCAGGGGACACCGGGTTGTACTGCCAGCTCCCAGCGCTGGCCTGGCCCAACCACTCAGGCCTCTGGAGAACGATTCAACATGTGGGGGAGCGTTCTCTCTCTCTCTCTCTCTCTCTCTCTCTGTGCCTTTCAAGTAGATGAAAACAAATAAACATTACATTTACAAATACATAAAAATCTATTTTTGCAAAGAACAGAGCCCAATTCTGTCATTTATCTTTGTGGCCTATGTGTGATGCCCAGCCGGTTCTGTTCTCTTTTACCAGGGGGCTGAAAGAGGCGTGCCCTGCCACTCTCCGAGGCACTGGGAGCTGACACCACGCGGGGACCCCGCAAGGCGCCCCGCGTCTACCGCTACTCCCGTGGCTGGGGACGAGACAGTCTGAGCAGACCTCGTGTTCTCAGCCACGCAGTGAGATGGGGGGGTCGGCCTGGCACCCGACCAGGCCAATGCCCCTGCCAGTGCTAGACCGCACTAACTCTAGAAACAGCTGTGAATGCACGAACCAGCAAGGGATCAAACTTCTGCAGCCTGACAACGCTGACCATTGTTTTTGTGAGGCCACAAACAGAAAAGAACTGGAAAGTCACGTTACTGAAAAATACAAAGAATCAGAGTCGAGGTCTGTCGGCCAAGTGCTCCTTTTCCAGCTGTATTCCGAGTGCCCACGCTGCGCCGGCCCAGGCGAGGCTCTGTTAGGGGGTGACGCAGGAACACACCCAATCCATACCGCTGGCCAGAGCAAATGAACACACAATGATCTCAGTAAACACAAGGAGGCATGGGAAAAAGCCAGCGTCCTCCCTGGTAAGAAGTCCCAGCAAGCTAGGAACTGAAGGCAACTTCCTCCGGCCTGAAAAGGACATCTAGGAAACCCCGGGCTGGTGTCCTTCCTGCCAGTGAACTTGATCGAGTGCTAATTCAAGTCCCGGCTCTCCCAGCTCTGGGCCTCCAGCCCACCTTCCTGCCAATGAACTTGAGAAGGCAGCAGAAGACGGCTCAAGTGCTTGGACCCATCACTCCTGTTTGACACCAGGATGGAGTTCCTGGCTCCTGGCTTCGGCCTGGCCCAGACTGGCTGCTGTGGCCATTTGGGGAGTGAACCAACAGGTGAAACAATCTCTCTCTCCCACTGTCATTCTACCTTTCAAATAAACAAATAAATCTTTTTAAAATCAATTAAAAAAAAAAGAAAATCCAACAATCAGCACGGTACTGAGCGATGAAAGGCTGAGGGATTCCTCACCCTGAGCTGAGAACGAGACGTCCGCTCTCAACACCTTTCTGGATTTCTAGGCCATGCAACAGGACAAGACACACGCACACAAGCGAGACAGCCAGACAGCAAAGGAAGAATAAGAACACCTCCGCCGCAGGAAGCACAATCATCCACACAAAGAATCTACCAAAAAGCCACCCCCCCCGCCCCGAGTCTCCAGAACCAGGAAGCGAAGTCAGAAAGAGCGAGGCACCGGGCCATCTGTATCCGGTCTTCTCCCTGTTCCCGCACACAGCTCCCACGGTAATGAGATGGCGGGGCTGGGCTGGGGTCCTTAGCGCCAGCATGCGAGCTGGCCACCAGGAAGAACAAGGCGGGATTACAGGGTTGGGACTTTCCTGCAGGGCGGGGCTGCAGGCTGGGTAGGTCGCCCTTACCCTGAGTTCTGTGAACCAAACCCCGGGAGGGTGTCGGAGGGCCAGACCACCTGGGGCGGGGCGGGGGGGGGCAGTCTTCAGGGCTGGGACCCCACCTGGGAGGTCTGGCGCTACCTCCCGGCAGTGTCAGAAGTGAACTGGACCGCAGGACACCCAGCCGGTGTGCACCGTGGCAGCTGCCAGACCGCGCGGCACGACCGGGCTGGACAAAACGGCAGCACGCCACTGGCTCTCCTGCCAGGAGCGCCTGGCGCAGGGGCGGCACGACTGACGCTGGACAAAACGGCAGCACGCCACTGGCTCTCCTGCCAGGAGCGCCTGGCCCAGGGGCGGCAGACTGGCCGGCTGAGGTATTTTTAGCAGTGCCTCGCAGCAGCCGCCGGCAGGCGAGTCAGCAGCAGGGCGCCCGCTCTCATCACCGCCCATCCGGAGTCCCCCCACGCAGGCGCGTTCCTCGTTCCGACGTGGGGGCTTTCCTGCCCACCCATGGCTACGCTCTCCCAAGGGGTCCTGCGTGGTTCTCTCCAGCACCTCCTGGGCAGGCCCTGAGACCAGCCCTGTGGAGCACAGCAGGTGACAAGGCCCCGGCCACTCCCTCACAGCCCACCCAGGCAGGGCAGGCCCCGCCCACCCCAAAGCTCACCTGGCAGGAACGGAACTGGCTGACGAGCAGCGTGCACCGCTGGGGGTCCTTCCGCCCGTCCAGGCTGTCCAGCTCCGCGGCCACCTGGTTCAGCTCCTCGTCCGCGTAGTAGAACTGAGCCAGCAGCTGCGGGTCCGACCTCTGTGGGGACAGAGGCCTGGACTGTGAGTGGGCAGCCGTTCCGCCAGGGCCTGGGTCCCCAGCCTGGCAGCCCCACCCTGACAGGGGGTGGCTCTTCCTTCAGCTCCAGGTGCTTCTGCAGGGACACAACCAAGGCTGGAGTCGAGCCCCGGCTGCCGGCTCTGCGTCCCCTGCGGGGGGCCCACCGCGCAGAAGGGGGCTGTGGGGGTCCCGACACTGCTGGCTGCACCAAGGCTGGAGTCGAGCCCCGGCTGCCGGCTCTGCGTCCCCCGCGGGGGGTCCACCATGCAGAAGGGGGCTGTGGGGATCCCGACGCTGCTGGCTGCACCAAGGCTGGAGTCGAGCCCCGGCTGCCGGCCCTGCGTCCCCCGCGGGGGGCCCACCACGCAGAAGGGGGCTGTGGGGATCCCGACGCTGCTGGCTGCACCAAGGCTGGAGTCGAGCCCCGGCTGCCGGCCCTGCGTCCCCCGCGGGGGGCCCACCACGCAGAAGGGGGCTGTGGGGATCCCGACGCTGCTGGCTGCACCAAGGCTGGAGTCGAGCCCCGGCTGCCGGCCCTGCGTCCCCCGCGGGGGGGCCCACCGCGCAGAAGGGGGCTGTGGGGGTCCCGACGCTGCTGGCTGCACCAAGGCTGGAGTCGAGCCCCGGCTGCCGTCTCTGCGTCCCCCGCGGGGGGGCCCGCCGCGCAGAAGGGGGCTGTGGGGGTCCCGACGCTGCTGGCTGCACCCTGGACACTGAGCTCTCACAGAACGCAGCTAAGGGGCTCTGCACCCCTCAGCAGTTTCCGTAAAACCCCCAAATGCCAGTGCTTTGTGGGATGGAACCCTGAATTCACCCACTCCCCATCAAATACGCGAGGTGTTTGACTCTGGGTCTGAAAGAGCAACCGGCATCCTTGGAGCCACACCCAGAGCCCGTTCGCCTCCAGCAGTCCCCAGTCTCCTTATTCCACAAACACAGCAAGGCCACACGTGCCTCAGGGCCTTTGCACAGGAGGCTCCCTGCACCCCAGGCACAACTGGCTTGTCCCCTTGCATGAGAGAAACTTGTGGGCAAGGCGATGAAGTGGTCCTCCGATGTGTGTTTATAAAATGCACTCTTCACAGTGACACAGAGAGAGACAGGGGAGACAACGCACAACGAGCAAATCACACGGCTCAAATCTGCTGGCAACGCCAGCACAGTGCACAGATGCACACCACAAGATCTACACCGCTTCCCTCTCGGCTCCACCTACGAGTCAGCTCCTGCTTGTGTTTATAATCTACCTGTAACTTTCCTAACTTTTGTTTCCCGTTTCCTTTCAACTCAGCCCCGCTCACCCCTCCCACCCACTCTGGCCTTCTGCCCCTCCCTCTGCAAAGCCTTGTCCCAGGTGCAGGTCTCAGTCACAGACCGTCCAGCAGGCCCAACTCCCGTCAGCTCCCGATGCAGGCCAAGGCTCCGGGGTGAGGAGCGGAAACCCTAAATGAGACTGAGCACGCTCACCTGGGAGGGCCACAAGGTCGCAGTTACCCAGTGACCCCTCTCTTGAAACGGGAACAAGAGTAGGTTTGGGAGGTGGGAGACTGTTTTTGGCCCATTTCCTGTCTGCTTTCTGGAAGCTAAGGATCATGGGGACAGGGAAGCCCACCAGGCAGCTCCAGCTCCTCCCCATGGTGGGGTGTGCCTCCCAGGCCTTGGGACCTCCCTTTCCACTTCTCAGAAGCATCCCCAGACCCAGCCCAGCCTCTCCAGGGCCACCAGCTGCCCCTGCTGAGCCCAGGTACTGCAGATGGCATCCCGTCGAGGGAGAGGGGAGTCACAGACACATTGCGACCTCTTACGAGGGCTCCCCGTGTGGGGCTGAGGCCCGCTGTGACTGGTGGGAGCTCAGGGTGGGAGCCCACGGCTCCCTTCCCCTTGGAGGAGGGTGGGCAGGGCAGGGATGGCGCGCAGCGAGACCTCGCCGTGGCCCTGACCGCTACTTGCGGACAGGGCACCATCTGGGCTGGCAGTCAGGCCAGCTCATCTAGGGCAGTGGATGACGCCTCCAGGGAGTGAAACCTTCTTCTGAGGGAGGCTGTGCCAAACCCGCCCGGGGACAGCTCAGAGTCGTCCTCTGCTCTGGGGCCACGTAGCAGGACGCCGCCTGTTCAAACCCTCAGCCTGGCCCCCAGGCCGCTCAGCAGTGAGGAAGGCACGTGAAAGGCCTAGGGAAACCCTGCCTGCGACCTGCCCACAACGGTCACCCACGCCACAAGGACCCACGTGTCCCTATGTCCTGGACATGCCGACAAGCAGCTACCACGCATGCGCACTTGAGTGGCGGCGACCCCAAGGACACAGACACTCACAGAGGCAGGACCACCTCCTGGTTAGGACTTGGGAGAGGCCTTATGAGGGGCCAACCCTGAGAAAGCAGAGTCTGCCATCGAAGCCATCCAGCCGATACCCCCGGAAGCTGCCTCCTGCCCAGGGCAGGGCTGGGAGCAGCTAACAGCCCAGACCTCTCCTCTCCCTCTGCATCCAGCAAAGAGCCCCGCCAGGCAGCCCAGGCAGCAGGTGCTGTGTGTGGCACTGACGTGGTAAAGCCCTGAGCAGCCCTGGCTGGAGCTGGCCCAAGCTGGTGACCCTGCCCACCCTGACGGCCCCTCCTTGGCCCCGGTCTGCACGTCGGAGCAGCAAATGCACAGCGCCTTGGTCTCCCTCGCATTTGGGGGAACCGCCAGGCCGTCTACAACCCACCGGCATGGGCACACAGCTCCGACACTTCGGACACTTCCTCTGTTCCCCAGGTTCCAAACGTGCCCTTGACGGACAGGCCTTTCTGTAAACCCCACCCCCACCTCCCCTGAGAAGGGCGCCAGAGGGCATGCAGAGGAAGGAACTGCTGTGACCTTGGTTTCAGTATGTTAAAGACCTTAAGGCCGGAGCTACCCACGTGTGGCCCGTTAGCAAAGAGAGCGCTACGTGCGCGCACGCCCCCCAGCACGCGCACGCCCCCCCAACACACACATACCCTGAGCAGAACAAATTAACAGACCTGGGTAAAAATAACAAACTGCTCTCCAAACACAAAAGGCCCAGGCTGTGTAAAATTGTATTTCCAGCCCCCCAGGACCAGCACTCAGAGGAAGAGACCCCCCCCCCCCAATGCAAGGGCAGGAGCAGGAAGTAAGTCTGTATCAACTGTGCCAATCAGACCCACCCGGAGACCCCTGAGACCCCAGGTGCTGTGTGAGAGACACCTCCAGGCAGGAGTTCCAGGAAATGAATTAACACAAGCCAGAAAATTCAATTTGTCTTGATGAACAGAATCAGCAAAAACACTCCAGTACGGAATTTCCACGTCTAAGCATGCAGAGCAGGACGCAATCAAGGCCTCACCTGCTCACCACCCACGCTGACCCGGCCCCTCCAGCCAGCGCGCACGGCTGGCCAACGGGGGACGTCAGTGTCCAGGAGCAAGCGGAGCGTCTTCCTCTCTGGATGCGAATCAGCCAGCGACATTATTTTAACGTTAAATGTTAAACAGAACCTTTAAATGCCCCTAAATAAAATGTCCACAGCCAAGGGAAACAAGTGATAGAAACAGGAAGACGTGCTCACCCTGCTAAACATCTTGAAATAAAAGTTGTAGGATAAATCCGAACCCAACAGGAATATCTTCTACAGTCAGGCCATGCCACGATTTTCTCAAGAATAAATTCTCAGCACCGCATGTTTTCGCTGCTACAAGACAGAAATAGGGGCTGGCATCGTGGCGTGTCGGGTAAAGCTGCCCCGTGATGCCAGCACCCCACGTGGGTGCCAGTTCATGTCCCGGCTGCTCCACTTCCAACGCAGCTCCCTGCTGATGGTCTGGGAAAAGCGGCAGAAGATGGCCCAAGTGCTTGGGCCGGGGTGGATGCCGTAGGCCCGGAGCAGGGGGCGAGGGACGGCCATCCTGCTGAGGAGCCTGTGAAGTCGTTTTCCAAATCCCAGCGCTGGGCAGAGCCTGGGGAGCCTGTGTGTGTGGTCTGCGGCCGGTACGGAGAGTATATCTGTGATGAGACGGACGAAGACGTGTGCAGCTTGGAGTGTAAAGCCAAGCACCTGCTACACGTGAGGGACAAGGGAGGGACCCCCGCGCCCAGCAGTACCCGGGAGGCCGACCCCGAGGCCGACCCCACGCCGCCCGCCCCTTACGTCTACAAAGAGCACCCGTTTATCCTGAGCCTGCACGAGGACCAGGTGGAGCACCTGAGACTGCAGCTGGGGATCTCCGTTGAAGGGCAGGGAGTCCCCAGGCCCATCATCGACTTTGAGCACTGTGGGTTCCCCGAGGCCCTGAATCACAACTTGAAGACGGCGGGCTATGAAGTGCCGACCCCCGTCCAGATGCAGATGCTGCCCGTGGGCCTGCTGGGCAGAGACATCCTGGCCAGCGCAGACACCGGCTCGGGGAAAACCGCTGCTTTTCTGCTCCCCGTGATCGTCCGAGCTTTGTGTGAAAGCAGCTGTCCCTCTGCGCTCATTCTCACGCCCACGAGAGAGCTGTCCGTCCAGATAGAGAGACAAGCGAAAGAACTGATGCGTGGGCTGCCCTGCATGAGGACCGTGCTGCTTGTGGGGGGCCTCCCCATGCCCCCGCAGCTGTACCGTTTGCGCCAGCGTGTTAAGTCCAGCTCTCTGCTATGGCCCGGGAAGGCAGTAGAGGATGGCCCAAGTGCTTGGGTCCTACACCCGCATGGGAGACCAGGAGGAAGCACCCGGCTCCTGGCTTCAGATCTGCACAGCGTCGGCCGTTGGGGAGTGAACCAACGGAAGGAAGACCGACCTCTCTCTGCCTTTCTTCTCTCTGAGTAACTCTGACTCAAATAAATTAATAAAATCTTTAAAAAACAAAAAAGCCCCACGAGGAGAGCCAACCCCAGTGCTCTGCTGGGGCCATCTAGGGTGAACCAGCTGATGGACGATCTCTCTCTGACTCTCTCTCTCATTCTGTAAGTCTGACCTTCAAATAAATAAAGACAAAAGCCACAAAGAAAGCGTTTTGCTTAGGAGATTAGACAACTACTGAATAATCAATCCTCAAGGAGGGCAGAGGAAAGATGCGCTAACAAAGCAGTTTGAAGATCAAAACTGCACAACAGTCGACCGATTCGCTGCTCACCGAGCCAAACACCTGGCCCGTGATCACCGAGCCAAACACCTGGCCCGTGACGGGGCCGCAGGTGTGGCATGTCAGTGCGGGTCTCCGGACACGGGCACAGCTGCAGGACCGGAACTGAGCTCCGGCCCCTGCCCAAGCCGCGCCTGGGGGAGCTCTGAGGGGCTGGCCAGGCCGGGGCAGAATTCAGCGTGCACAGCACCACCAGCCTGGACAGGCCTGGCCGCACAGCAGCCCTGGAGGGGGCAGCCCCCAGCCCTGCTCAGAGCGCTGCTCATCAGAGGTGGCCTCCAACAAAGCCTTCGACCCAGATGAGCCCAAAGCTCAGGAAGGAAACAAATGGCCAAGGTCAGTGCTGGATGCCACAGAGCCAGAAGGCGGCTCAAACGTGAGAAGCAGAGGGGATGGGGTGCCCGGGACTGGATCCCTCTCTCACTCTCGCTTCCCTAATATGACGTAAATCCCCAAGCCTGGGCACCACACTGGGGCACGGCATCACGCTCTTGGCCGGCTCAAGCAGGAGAAGACAGCAAGAGCGGCAGGTGGCAGGACAGGCAGCGTGGCCAGAGCAGCAGGGACAGCTCCCCCTGCCCCTGGGCAGCCTGGAGATGGAAGGGAGCCCGAGGCACGTGAGGAATCCAGATTCCCGCCCGGCTCCCTCCTCGCAGCAGCTGTCCCAGGACGCAAGCCATGCTCCTAACAGGGCCCCCCGACAGACCACCCCACGCGCTCCTAACAGGGCCCCCCGACAGACCACCCCACGCGCTCCTAACAGGGCCCCCGGACAGACCACCCCACGCGCTCCTAACAGGGCCCCCCGACAGACCACCCCACGCGCTCCTAACAGGGCCCCCGGACAGACCACCCCACGCGCTCCTAACAGGGCCCCCGGACAGACCACCCCACGCGCTCCTAACAGGGCCCCCGGACAGACCACCCCACGCGCTCCTAACAGGGCCCCCGGACAGACCACCCCACGCGCTCCTAACAGGGCCCCCCGACAGACCACCCCACACGGCACCAGCCATGGAGATGCTGGCGCGCTTGCCTTCTGGATGTGGGAGACGCCTGGGATGGAGGCCACACGTGGGCTTCAGGGGACAGAGGGAGGAGAGCAGGCGCCCACCGTGCCCAGCTGGGCCCTGAGCTCCACTGAAGCCCTGGACTCCACCCCAGCACTGGACTCAGAGAGGCACCCAAGGCAGGGAAGCTTCCAGCCACACTGATCAGGAGACCTGGCGGAAGCCTGGAGGCTGGGGCGGTCCCTCCCCTGCCCCTTCCTGAGTGGCATCAGAGAGGGCTTTGTCCCCGCCCACTCCCGCTCTCTCTGCCCTCTCTGTAGCCTCCAGCCCGGGCTGGTCATCGTCCCCACCCCCCAAATTCCCTCCACCCTCTCCGCACAATGTCCCTCAGGGAGCCACCGCAGGAGGTCCTAGGAGCTGGTGGGCGGGACCAGGCACAGCGGAATCCCCAGGTCACTACGGACAGGTCCCCGTCATCTAACTGGTCAGCACTGCAGGACCGTTCTCTCGGGGCCCGGGACCCAGCCTCGCCTGTTTCTCGCCCGCAGATCTCAAGGACAACTGTAGGATGTGCGGGAGTGTGGCGTCCTGAGAACTGTCCGGATCAGCCCAGGCCCGTCTCTGAGGGCCTCCTGGGGAAGGTGACCTCTGGGGCTAGGCACAGCACAGCCAAGACAGCCGGGGCTCTGCTCCCCTCTTCCCTGGGAGCACACAGTCCTCCAGTGTCACACAGCCCCCAAGTACACAACCCGCGAAGGCTGCCTTTTGGGGTTCCCCGGCTGGGGTACAAAGTGGGGCACACAGACACGGCTCCACCTGCCCCAGGCAGCTTCCCAGTCTCGGAGGACGGGCTTGCCACGGACCTGCGTGGACCTCTGCCCCTCGCTGCCCATCTCTAAGTAACACAACTGCTTCAGGCACCTCGTGTGAGTGTGTCTGTCTCACCAGACTCCAAGACATACCCTGGCCATGGCGGGCCTCGCCCAGCTGGAGCACAGAGGGCAGGGGTTGCGGGTGGTTGGCGTGGCCAGATCCTTGCTACCTCCCACACCGCCGCAGTCCTCTTTTGGGCACCTAGCAGAGGGGAAAGGGACCCCTTCTCAATCCACAGAGGAGAGAACCGAGGCTTAGAGAGGGTCACAAACTCCCCCAACATCCCACAGCTGACAAGCGGTGGGGACGACTGTCCCAAGGCTCGACCCACTCTGTCGCCTGGGGGTAGTACAGGAAAAGCAGCATGGAGCCACCCAGGCTGGCGCCACGGCCCTGTGAGGCGGAACGGTCCCACCGCCGGCTCTGCAGCTCAGCCTGATGGGAAGCGGGGGTGGCTGACAGCAGATGGGAAGGTGATGTCCGAAGCGTGTGCCGACAGCCAGCCAGTTCACAGACACCACAAGCCAACTGCCCAAGGAGTGTCCATCAGCCCTGACCCAGGTCTGCAGACCAGGGCATCGGTGCTGAATTCCTGGCCTCACTCACACATTCAGTTACCTGTGGACCATCAGCCGGTGCCATGTGGGCTTCCAGTCCACAGGACCCCAGGTGGTCGGTCATGGACTGACTGACTCCTGCTGGCTGGCACAGCCAGCCTGGCCAACAGCCCCAGGCGGGGACAGGCACAGCCACCGGGCCAGGCCAGTCACAAGTGGGTGAGGGTGGGGCAGGCGTCCAGGTGAGTCCATAAGGGCAGCTTTGGGACGTAGCCTGGGCCTGCCTGGCCATGCACGGGCTGCGAGCAGCTTGAGGGGGAGGGGCTGGTGCAAGGGGCGGGGGGAGAGGGTCAGATCGGGTCCAGGGGCTCCCGACATCCCCCACCCAACACAAGCAGGGCCACACAGGGGGAGGGGACTGCTGGGGGGACACAGTGAAGGAGGCAGCTACCTGTCAGGACGGGGAGATCAATGGCGCCCCCAGTGCAGCAACATGGATGTGGAGAGGCCAGAGGCCAGGACAGAGCCTGCAGGGCTACCCAAGAGACACCGGGAAGAGCTGCAGGGACAGGATGCTGGGGGCCATCAACCACTGCCTCGAGGTGCCTGTGTGTGCACGCACAGCGCCGGTGAGTGTGCCTGCACGGCTGGCGGCTCCCGGCTGGGCCTCTGCGCGCCCTCGTCGGCCTCATTCGTGGGTCTCAGCAGGTCACGCCAGCGATCACCCACTTTGCGGTGCCTCCCCGCCAGCCCAGGCCCACAGATCCTCTCGCTGGCCTGGCCCTTCAGCCTTCAGGCCGGCTCTGAATCTCTGCCCCATCAGAGTCCTGAACCCTGGGCCTCACCTGCGGCAGGTGAAAAGCCCAAACTCTGTCTGAGGTCAAGAAATGCTTCCCCACTTGGATTCAAAGATGGTCACTGCCGGCCAGCGGGGACTTGGTTCCAGGGCGCCGAGCTGGCCACAGCAGGAGGACTCTCCCCAGGCCCCTGCTGGGGTCCTCAGCTGAACTCTGAGTTAGGAGCTCCCAGAGGCTCTGCTGCCACCACAAGACCCCAGGTGTACTAGCGGTAGAAAGAATCCCAAAGGGAAATGGGGTACACGTGTTTGTGTCCCGGCCTCTGGGGTCCAGACTGGGAGTGAGGGCTGCTCCCCACTCGGCACACCGCGAGGCAGGGCAGAGATGCAGCCTGGGTCCGCTCCCAGGAAACCAAGGGGAGGACAGGAAATCCAACCTCGAGAGATGGCCCAGGACGGCTCCTCCCCAACACAGCCGCCCGCCCGCCCCAACGCTGCAGGTGGACACCCACAGAGGCAGCACCCCGGGGCCAGCACTGGCTGTATCCCAAATGGGAGTCCCAGCTCCAGCACCCGCTAAAGCACATCCTGGGGCTCAAGTGGTTGGATCCCTGCCGCCCACGTGGGAGACCTGGACTGGGCCCAGCCCCAGCACTGTAGCCAGCAGATAGGCGGTCGCTCTATCTTTCTGCCTTTCAAATTAAGAAGGGGAGAGGGCCACACTACTTAGAGATTTTAGGGGGGCAGTGAAATGCGTAATTAGAGCAATCAGTTACTCTAGCCAAAAATAGTTATGAAATCTCGCCCACACCCAGGAGAATGTGCACATCAATTCTGAGACAGAGACTTGAACGTCACTAAGTCTTTGTTTAAAATGCTTACACGGGGGCCTGGCGTCGTGGCACAGTGGGCTAAGCTCCCACCTACAAGGCCCACCTGCCATACTGGAGTGCCGGTTCAGGACCTGGCTGCTCTGTTCCCAATCCAGCTTCCCGCCAATGTGCCTGGGAAGGCAGTGAAGGGTGGCCCACATGCCTGGGCACCTGACTTCATGTAGGAGATCTGGATGGAGTTCCTGGCTTTTGGCTCCAGCCTGGCCCAGCACTGGCTGTTGCAGCCATTTGGGAAGTAAATCAGCACACGGAAGATTCTCTCTCTCTCTCTCTCGATCTCTCTCTTCCCCACCCTCCCCCCTTTAAATAAATAAACATTTTTTATTTTTTATTTTTTTTAGAGTTTTTTAGAGTTAGACAGTGAGAGAGAGAGACAGAGAAAGGTCTTCCTTCCATTGGTTCACCCCCTAATGGCTGCTACGGCTGGTGCTGTGCCGATCCGAAGCCAAGAGCCGGGTACTTCCTCCTTGTCTCCCATGCGGGTGCAGGGCCCAAGCACTTGGGCCATCCTCCGCTGCCCTCCCAGGCCACAGCAGAGAACTAGACTGGAAGAGGAGCAACTGGGACTAGAACCTGGTGCCCCAATTGGGACTAGAACCCGGGGTGCCGCTGAGGGGCGAGGGGCTGGGGCTGAAAGTGGGGACTTGCAGGGCATACCCCAAGTGCCAGGCCCTCCTGGAGCCAGACAGGGCGAACGGCCCAAGGTCAGACCTCAGTCCACATCTGCAAAGAAGTCCACCGAGGGCTCTGGCAGCAGAGTCCAGTGCCGGAGGGGAAGTCCAGGGAGCAGCTCACAGCACAATGGCCGACAGAGGAGGAGCGTTTTCTCCTTCTAGCGCTGGGATACTCTCCAGCCGAGGGCAGACCTCGTGTCTTCAGACCATGCTTCTGCTGGGTAAGTGCAACCTTCTACAATCTAAGAGCACAAATGCTGCACGCGGGGCTTCAGGCTTTTAAACTAACCCAGAGCCAGCACCCACCCAGGTGGGCATCTGGATGTACCTATGGATGGTTCTGGTTGCCACGACGCCTGGGGAATGCCACATGCAGGACCCAGAAATACCCCACCCCCAACACACAGTCAATTGATTTCCGACAAAGGTGCCAAAGAAATCTGATGGGAAAGAAGACTCTTTTCAACAAACAGTGCTGGGTCCACTGGATGGCCACGCACAGAAACTCCTCAAACGTCAGGACAGAAAAACCTTGGGCTTGGCAAAGATTTCTTAAACAGTTCACAAAAAAGCACAAACTATAAGAGGAAAAAAATCAATAAACTGGACTTCATCAACATTAAAATTTGCTCTTCACAAATCTTGCTAAGGAAATGAAAACCGAGTCCCAGGCGAAGCGTTAGCCAGACGCGACTATTCCAGAGGGCTCGGACTCAAAAACCACCACGAAGTCTGACAGCTCAGAAAGAGGGCAGCTGACTTCCAACACAGAATAAATACCTCAAAGGCCCCTAAGAAACCTCCAGGAAGAACAAGCAGATGCAAATAGCACTGACATCTTAGGGAAACGCAAATCATTCGAACCACAAGGAGATGCCACTTCACGCTCACAAGAACGCTAGCGTTTTGAGAAGCGGCTACCCCGAGCGTCGGCAGGGCTCACGGGGCCAGAGCCCTCACGTCCTCCTGGTGGAGACGCGACGACCAGCCTTTGGAAAACAGGCTGGCAGCTTCTTGCAAAGTGAGGCATTTGCCCACCACACCACGCAGCCACTCCACCCCGGTCCTCCCGAGGGCTGAGGGCACACACGCACTCTTGGAGCTCTGCACACGTTTCAGAGGAGCTTCCTTGCTAACAGCCAAAACCTGGAAACAGCCCGAGGTTGCACATGAGACCAGAGACACACATGGCGGCGAGTCCACCCACAGAAGACACTTGGCAACAGAAAAAGGAACCAATGACTGACACCTGTCACGACGCGGATGCGTCTCAGAACGCTCGGGCCGAGCTGAAGCAGCCAGACCACAAAGGGGCGTGTGCTGTACTGGCACTGGATTCCACCGACACACTTCTGGAAAATGCAAGCCACACCACCACAACCGGCCCAGCACCACCCTCAGTGTCTCACGTCAACGCAGGGAGCCACAAGGACCAGACCACAGCTCAGGGACATCCAGGGTGAGGGGCTGAGGGCATGGTTCTGCCTGGAGGCATTCCCAGGGGGTCAGGGCCGGAGTCCTCCTCACAGATGCTTCCAGGGGTGGGGAGAAGGCCCAAGTCAGCTCTAACCACCTGCCTTCCTGGACCGCCCCTGGGATGCAGCAGCCCCTGCCCAAAGCCTGGGCTACCCGTGGGCACAGGGGTCACTCCCACAGCCAAGAGGGCAGGACCGAATGGGGAGGCAGGCACAGCCGACACCAGTGTCTTTCAGGGCCAAAGCCAAACTGGAAAAGGTGTGCTCCAGTTACCAAGGCTCACTGGGTGGGTGGGGGTGGGGGGCAAGCCTCAACCCAGCAGA